ATATTAAGATACTTCATCGTAGTGTTTAGTGATTACAAAATCCAGAGATTCTACTGCAACATCTACTGCAGTCACTGAGGATACAGTGGATACACTGCATACATTGTCTTGATGCCTTACTGTGAAAATATGGATATTTGAGATCTTTTCTGCCCCTTTTTCTCCTCCATTAATACATTTGTTTCAGTTGGCAACAGAAAAAAGAAAAGCAGCCAGGTGTTTTAAGAAGTTTTTTTTCTAGTGTTTAGGTCTGCATTTGTAAAAGTGTCTGCTGCTGCTGCTGCTGCAAAAAAAAAAAACTCAGCGACTCAGTGAAATTGATTATATCTGAATTCTTATTATTGTATATATTATTTTATTATTGTATACTATTAAACTGATCAGGTATCAGGCAGATGTGCTGAGTGACATTCATCTGTATATCTTACTTACAAAAAAGAAAAAAACAAAACTGAAGAAGTATGATTGGTGTGTCCTTGTTTTTGGAATCAAAAATGCAAAACAGGCAAAACAAACCATGTTGTTACTCATGAATATCAGGCGAACGCAGCCTGACTAACTTGTTTCAGATCAGTGTCCATTCTGTCAAACGTTTTACTTCATAAACTTTTTATTTTGCATTTCCCAGCTCTGGACCCGCACTCAAGAAAGGCAAAAGCAGAACATTTTATGGCATTCACAAGGTAACAAAGTGTCACAGTGGTTTTATAAACCCTGTCACTTGATGACTTTGGAATAACCTTCCCTGTGTCTTTTCCAGGACTTCCCGTGTGTAGCAGTAGTCGGCCTGGGTAAGAACAATGCAGGTGTTTGCGGGGCAGAGAACTGGGACACCAGCAAGGAGAACATCCGGCAGGCAGTGTCAAGTAAGACAAATACCTTCATCTTTCTATGGTTTCTATGATTTGGTTCCTGACTGATATCTGTGTGTTTTTCTGTGTGTGCTCAGCTGGCTGCCGGGCGCTTCAGGACCTGGAGGTGAACCACGTGGAGGTGGACAGCTGTGGCAATGCGCAGTCAGCAGCAGAAGGTGCCATTCTGGGTTTGTTTCAGTACGATCAACTCAAATCCAAAAAGAAAACCAAAGTGACAGCGCAGCTTCATGGAAGGTACATCGACACACCGGGGCTCACTGAGTTTCATAGGTCTTTGAAGTTGTGGTAAATAGTGATGTACAACGTGACATCTTCTGTCTGTGTGTTCTTAGTGCTGACATGGCCGGATGGGAGAAAGGTGTCATGTATGCAGAAGGACAAAACCTGGCACGGCTTCTCATGGAAGCTCCAGCCAATCACGTCACTCCTACTGCTTTTGCAAACACCATCGAAGAGAAACTTGCTCCACATGCCGAACGAGTCACGATAAATAAGAGGTTTGTGCATCATTTGTCAACTTTGATGGCACTGATTGATTGACATTACTTTAGATATTCAGAAGCTGTTAGAATGTTAGCAGCAACATGACAGAAAAATGTGATATCCTAAAACTAGCAATGTAATGTTCAGGACACACTGAGTGTCTTCAGTCGGACTCAGCTCTTTAAAATGTAAAGCACAAAACTAATACAATCATTCTATTAACGGCTCAGCTGATCAATAGCTAATCACCGAACATAAGGTCTGGTCTGATTTTCTGTCTACATTAAGTTTTTTCTTTTTTTGCAGATCCCAGGCTTGGATAGTGGAGCAACAAATGGGAGCCTTCCTCAGTGTGTCGAAAGGCTCAGAGGAGCCCCCAGTCTTCCTGGAGCTACATTACAACGGTTCACCTGACAGTAAGCAGCCACCGCTGCTGCTAGTGGGCAAAGGCATCACATTTGACAGGTAAACCATAATCTGCTGTGGTCATGAGGATATCTAATGGAACACACCTCATTTATACAATACAGTGCTGTCACTGCAGTGACCCTCTCCTCGCTCTGTGTCTGTAGTGGTGGTATTTCTCTGAAGCCCTCTCAGTCTATGGATGCAATGAGAGCTGATATGGGTGGAGCCGCCACCGTATGCTCATCCATCGTCACGGCAGCAGCGCTGAAACTGCCGGTCAACATTATTGGTGAGCTTTTTAACATTCAATCCCCTCCAACAATATTTGCTTCAGCCATATATGATGCATGAGAGCGTCTGAGCATGTCTACAAAGAGCTCACTGCCCTGATTCAATCAGGTCTGGCCCCCCTGTGTGAGAACATGCCCAGTGGAAAGGCGACGAAGCCAGGTGATGTTATCACAGCCAAGAATGGCAAAACAATCCAGGTGGGTGGATCCATGATGACAGGTGACAGATTTCAACAGCCCTCCGAGTGTGTTTGTGCATCTCCATGTTTGTGTGTACAGATGAACAGGTTTTACTGTTGCTGTGTTCAGGTTGATAACACAGATGCAGAGGGCCGACTGATCCTCGCTGATGCACTCTGTTACGGACACACCTTCAAACCCAGGGCCATCGTCAATGTTGCTACTCTAACAGGTGGGATCTCTGATTTTTATTTTTTTTTTAAACTGTATGAACCCTAAACAGTTTCTGCATGTTTCTTGCTCCCATCACATTTTTACTCACTGTGGGCTAACTACTCACAGCAATATTAAGTCATGAACCTCTATGGAAACAACACAACCACGGCTAGAAGTACAGAGAACTCAAAATTGTCCTCTGTACAGTATGACTCAATTATATATGCTGTTAATTAAAAAAAAGAAGAAAAAAAAAGAAAAGAAAATTAGAGTTCTTCAATTATGTGCTTAATTTTTACAACATTTCCCAAGTTCCCAGAGGTGTTAGTGATACTGGAAAATTGTGATTCTGCATACTATAGATTTCACTCCTTACATTTTTAATTTGTTTCCATATCTGTCTCCTGCTTGCTCTGTGTAAACGCAGTCTTCAGTTCAGCTGGAAAGTCCCTGAATTGTTGTCCTGTGATTGTTTGTCGCAACTGAATCAGTCATGGCTTTGTGAGCTGGTTCAAGAAAATAGTTTATTTCTACATGAGAAATGTAGAATTAAGTAATTTTGATGAAGTATCACTATTTTAAGCTTAGATTTGGTTGTTTTTCCAAGAGAAAAATCCCAGAACAAGTGGGAAGTTTTGTGGCTTTTGGCTGTGATAAATGGTGTGATTTTGGCGATTTCAGAAAGACAACATGCCTTTCAAACCCAACAGTGGGTTTTGGGGTTCAGAGGGTTAAACATTGGCATCAGTTTTACATCATGGTATGAGACATTAAAGTCATTGTTTTGGCTTTGACTCAGCCTTGATGACAAGCTACTCGTAGTGTGAGCATACATGAACTGTTGTCATGGAGATAGCAGCCCATGAGGCAATCAAAGTGCCTCTTGTTTTCTTTGTTGGTTGATGTGAAAGCAATTAGACTGAGATTATTATACGAGTAAATATGGAGGAGTTAACACTATGATGACTAAATATTAAAATGTTGCTTCTTCTCTCTCCAAGGTGCAATGGATGTAGCTCTTGGCTCAGCAGCAACAGGAGTGTTTACGAATTCTGACTGGCTCTGGGAGCAGCTGCACAAGGTACTGCAGATACACAGTAAACACATCGTCTCCGTCTCCCAGCTCCTCTGTTGACAAATGTGTGTCTGTGTGTGTCTGTCTGTGTGTGTGTGAAGGCTAGTGTTGTGACAGGTGACAGAGTGTGGCGGATGCCTCTGTTCCAGCACTACACCAGACAGGTGACTGACAGCCAGCTGGCCGACCTCAACAACATCGGCAAGTACAGCCGGTACGTATCTCACCGCACACAGTAATCCCTCGCAGCCCCTGCAAGACGCATCAGAGTAGCAGCGGAGTCTGGTCATGGCTTGTGGTTCACGGTTTCCCTGCATTTTACGAGTGTGTCTGTTGATTTCTTTCTAGTTCTGGCGGCGCGTGCACAGCAGCTGCATTCTTGAGGGAGTTTGTAACAGCTCCTCACTGGGCTCATCTGGACATTGCTGGCGTGATGAGCAACAAAGATGAAATTCCCTACCTGAGGAAAGGCATGTCTGGGAGACCAACACGCACCCTGGTGGAGTTTGCTGCCGGGCTGGCTAACAGCAGCTGAGATGGACACAAAAGTCTGACATGGCACAACAGGAGTCTTTCTACATGAACAGAGCTGAACGCCCAGGGTCAAAGTCCACACACATTTGAACAGTTCCATGGAGGAACTGAAGATAGGAATATTCAATAGAAATATTTTTTTGAAACAGTCTGATGGAGCTTTACCATCATTTTAACAAGGTTTTTAGACCTCATTGTAATACACATTGTGTTCCTCAAACTGATTTGTTTTCAGCAGAAAAACTTGAAGCTGTGTAGTACTTACATGATCATGTATGTGTTTTAAAAATAAACTGTAATTGGTAAATAAAAAGCATTTAAGTACATGAGCAGATGTATATGTCACTATTGTTGTCCCTTTTCTCTGTTGGATTGTTCAACATCGAATCCCCAAGTCGTGGCCATTAAGATGCTGTTTAAATAGGGTTCATTCTTTTGGTTTCATGACTTGCACAAGATGTTGGAACATGGCTGCAGTGATTTGATGCTGTTTAGCCACAGCAGCACTGGTGTTGCTGGCCTCTGCTGTTGGATCCCAAGCTCAACGACTGTGTTTTAATTCGTTCCAGAGGGGTTGGATGTTGTTGTTTTTTGTAGCTAGGGGGTCTGTGCATGCACGTTAGTGTTTCTACACCAAACTGAGAAAACCATTTCTTATTAGACCATGACTTATTCATGTGAGTAAAGACTTGTTGAAAGCAGACATGCCCATTTCCCAGGCTGCTTCCACAAGTCTGAGGCACACAGTTGTCTAAAATATCATTCTTGACTTCAGTATAAAGATTTGTCTTAATTAGAATAGGGGTCTTCGACAAAATTCTGAAAAAAATAAAAATAAATAAAAAATCCTCAGATTGATGAGAGTCTATGAGGAGAGGTGTCCACTTACTTTTGGCTGGACAGGAACATTAGGTTATTTGTGCGCATGTGCGGGCTGTGCGGACCACAAACACTCGGATCAAGATGGCGTCTTCCATGAGTGGGATGTTTCCCGGCCAGCAGCCTCCCGGTGCGCACCCCGTCGGAGGTCCCGGTGGACCGGGTCAGCCGGGCTTCCCCGGTAGCGCAACCAGGGTCCCAGGAAACAACACACTGGTGGATGAACTGGAGGCTTCGTTCGAGGTAGAAAGCTCACGTCTTAGCTTATGTTAGCTGTCTGTACTAACAGTTGTTAGCTGCTTTAGCTAGCGGTAGCTGATATTTAACGCTTCATTAATTGGTGCTTCTATACTGCAACATTTATAGAGATAGTCTGTCAGAGCGGTTTTATTAAACACATCATACATAGATTACTATCTGGATAAATCAGAGGAGCTAGTTTTTATGATGGTGCTGAGTTACTCAGGCTGGCGGTAGTTTGTGTCGCGACTATTAGCATACGTTTGCTAACAAACAAACTGAACACAAACTAAGTGTAGTGTCGTCTTTCTGTTAATTTTCATTGTCAAACAGCACAATACCCAGGTTCTCTCTCTTCCTGAATCAGCTACTAACAGAAATCGATGTCCTACATCTATAATTGTCAGATAGCCTGTATTATTGGCAAATTGAACCCCTTGTAGTTGTCTACAGACGGGCATGCACAACACGACAGGTTTGGTGTACTCACTGTAGTATAACTAACTCTCTTTAAAATGAAGCAATCAAACTGTCGCTCTGTCCACATACTTCTGGTTACATTTGTTTCTGGCCCCTCGTTTCAGATATTAAAGACAACTGTGTCCTTTTAATTTTGTGTCATCAGTTTCAGCATGATATTTCCTGTGACTAAAAAGTCAATGAAGACTTTTTCTCAGTTCAGCATGGAAGAGCTTAACTGGTTTGCACAGAGCTTTGACCTTAACAAAAAACAGACAAGCAAAGATGTGAACACTGATGGTTTGTCACAAATGCTGGTCACATGGTCAGCAGACAGTCTTTATCTCCCCTTAGTATTTTTATCACAGTCCAGACTATGTGTCATATGGGGTCAGGAACACATTTTTACAACTGTGACTTTTCCTTTTCAGACTATGTTTCACTTCTCCATGGCTTAGGCTAGAAAGCTGCCATCATTCACAGAGAAACAGACTGCCATTGCGAAACACCACTGGACAGAGCTTGTCTTTGCAAACTCTCTGATCTTTATTCTAATCCAGATATTCAAGGACAAAGGGATTGGAAATTCCACTTTTATTGTAACTCTGGTAAAAAAAAAAAAAAAATTTCTTTATTGTTATTTCTGTTGATTCTTTAGGCATGTTTTGCATCCCTGGTAAGCCAAGACTATGTTAACGGAACAGACCAGGAGGAGATTCGAACTGGTAAGTGAAGCCCTGTATTTCTATAATCAATGTATATCATGCTGAAATCTGTACGCTGATGCATTTGTTTCTGTCTGCAAACTGTAGGTGTGGACCAGTGCATACAGAAGTTCCTGGACGTGGCCAGACAGACAGAGTGCTTCTTCTTACAGAAAAGGCTTCAGCTGTCTGTGCAGAAACCAGAGCAGGTGGTGAAAGAGGTAAAGTATTATACTGACTCACATTTTCTTTCAGTTCGGAGTGGCCCTCTTCCCCGACTGTTCCGTTACTTTCATTTTCCAATCATTTCAGTATAAAGCTAGCTAATCTCAAACACAAGTGTTTTGGATAAATTATTCCTCTCTATTTGTTAACGTGGCCTTCTTTCCTCTCAAGTATTTTTTTTTTCTTTCTTCTCACTGCAGGATGTGTCAGAGTTGCGTAATGAGCTACAGAGAAAAGAATTGCTGGTTCAGAAGCACTTGACCAAGCTACACCACTGGCAACAAGTGCTGGAGGATGTGAGCGTTCAGCATCGAAAACCCTCAGACCTTCCGCCTCCTGGACCACTGGCCTTTTTGGAGCAGGCCTCAGCTAGTCTACCCCCTGCCCCTTTAAAACCAAACTAACACACCAGAAGTGCAGTCACAGTAGTAAAAAAAACCAGCCCCACACTGACAGATGTGCTGACCAGTGAATCGGCAAACGCAGGAATAATGACCTTTCTACAATGTTCACATCTGTGCGGTCAAAGTTCAACCAAGGTGAACTCAGACCCGAAAGTGCAGCACAGCTGATGGAAGATGGCATCCCAACTGGAAATTAATGCTTGCATTCATCAAGTGTTCAGCTTAATTTGAAGTAAACGGGCAATAGAGTTAAAATTTCTGCGACAAAAGTGTTACGTGACCGTACCTAAACGCTAAGGAAGAATACAACACATGTGACATTCACTGTCAACTTGCATCTAAACTGAAGAACAGTTTGCTGGAGCTGTGAGGGAATTATGACATAGTTGCTTTTCTTTCTTTCCTGTATTTTGATTAATGTAAATATTTCCTCTGCAGATGTTTTTTACTGTAAAAATAAATTTGTGAGTATTTTGAATCTGGACTGAAGGCTTAGTTATGTTTTTCTTGTTCCTGCAGAGGACAAATTGTTGTTATTGAAAACTGCAGTGACCTCTGTCTGCACAATTTAAAGGGACATTCCACCAATTTTACAGAGAAGATTTTCTCAGTGAAGATTTGTTTATGGGTCCTGAATGAGTTCCACTATGAAAACAGTTGTCCTCTGAGACAATAATGTCAAAAGAGGTTGTCTTAGCTTGGACTGAGCTTGTGTTACAATCTGGGACTGTGCAGCCTAAGGGACTTGGTTTTCACTAAGCTGAAAGGATGGAAACCTTGATGCTGTCAAGTTGTGTTGGTGGAGTTGTAGGATCTAGCATTTTGGGAGGTGCTTCAATTTGAACTCTTCTTCCTTTGATTTCTCTTTAATATCTCATCCTGCATCAGTGAGACACCCCCTTAATCACTCACCATTCCAGTAGCTAGAATAGAGTCACTTATAAAGTTATTATTTAGAATATTCACCATATTTACACAAAATAACACACTGTTTTCTGCCCATTATAATAAAAAAAACCCTACTTGCCACCAGCTTTAATTCCACATCCCTTGTGCATTACATGACAGAGGAGTGACTTGTGATAAGCGAAGGCTGAGCCTCCTGACAGCCTGGTGTCTCTAATGTATTCAGTGTCTTCACACTGTAACAGACTTGTTCTGCTCAGCTTCACAGCTCGATCGCCTGTTCACTGACAGCACAGCCAGAGAAAAAGCCTCACAGATGGGCTCCAGGGACAAAGCTTTCCACAAAGCAGGGGTCTGTGGTCCTGACATGAGGAGGACTGGATTGTGAATACATTATTTCATTGACAAATGCCTCCCATTTTTTCATTTATACTGTCTCTAATTGAAACAATATTGGCTGGACTGAATTATAGCAGCTTGTTCTGCATCTTCTTGTTCACTCGGGATCCCTGTTTCTGCCACACAATCAAATTTATAGGATGCTAGGCAAAATGTTGACTAAGACATGAGCAAGAGACACAATTAACATTTGTTAGTCACTATTATCATGAGATGTATCAGTATTTTCAGCTAATAAGTCAAGGTTGTGAGATACTAAAGCCACCTGTAAGTCAGAACTGTGGCATATGCAGGTCGATGTAAAAGTTTTCAGCCATTTAGATGTTGACATTTTTATCCATCATGCAGTGCTATCTGGGAGCCATCTCACTGGTCCAAAATTCACTATGCAGCATGATGAGATACAAAAGCAAGTTGATGAGATTAGATGATATACACCATGCTGAGACAACTTTGAGTTTCCTGAAACATAGTCAAAATTTTAGCTAATGATCGTATATTTCTGTTTTAATTAACATAACAGTCAAATGTTTTGAGTAATGTCAGAATTATGGTGATAGTAAGTCAATATCAAGCCAAAATGTGTAACTTACTGAGTGATAATGATGAGAAATAAAAAGTAAATTATACACAGTATGAGGTTAGAAGATACTGAGTCAACATTTGAGGTCAAATTTGAAATTAAAAGTCAAAATTGTGGGGCAATCTTTGACTTAGTCAAAAGTGTCAAACAGGAAATAAATATTCTAATAAGTCAAAATGATGAAATATATTAAAATGTGACACACTAAGTCAAATTCTCATGTTTTTGACTTATTTTGTCAAAAGTGACTTTATAATAGTCAATTTGTAGTAAGTCAAAAAATTGTTTTTTTAAATTTTTTTTTATTTTTACATTTAAATCTCGAGTTATGTGGGTTTTTTTTTTAGCAAAATGTTGCCATAAATTTGGAAAATAAGTTAAAATTGTGATACTACTTGAAGGTTTGATTTTATAGGTAAAAATACTGAGAAAAATACTGATTTTGAGTTTGATGACACTTGGAGTCCAAACTATGTTTCATGATCACACATTATATACACAAAATCCTAAAATATAAATGGCTGTTTAATTACAATAAAAGTCCATGTAGGAGTTCTGAGAAATTGAGCAATTAGGGTAAAATATCGTGAGCCAGCATTGTGAGGCTGATCTGACTAAAAATCTTACTTGTGAGGCAAATTTTGACTTGATATTAGAAAGGAAAATAAAAAGTGTGAAAAGTCAGAATGATGTAAGATAGAAAAAATGACCGAAAAAGTCAAAAGAATGGTTGATTTCCTAATTATAATGTCAGTAATGACTCTTTTTTTTGTTCCTTAATAATGACAATAAAAAATCTGAATAATTATAAAAAAAATTCTGAGTAAAAATCAAAAAGTGGGGTTCACTAGTAAGTCATAAAACATTAAACAAATATTCTAAAATGTGAATTCCAATTGAAGAAACAGTAAATATTGATTCACATGTAAATGCTCTGATGCAGCTCTGACTCACCACCGACATGACGAGGAAATCAGGCTTTTATAATTTCTAGGTCAAAATGACATGTCTAAATGATGAGACAGCAGCTCCCCTGTCGTCCACGTAACGCGTATCGATCACGTATCGGAGCCGATCAGCCTCCTCCGGCTCTCAGTCTTCCACAGCTAGAGGGAGACAGCGCATTCTTGCGGGACGCCTTGGCCGCTCCGAGGACCGTCTTTGCGGACATGTCCTTGTTTGTGCGTTTTAATCAGCGATTGGAAAATAACAGGTAGCCCTTGTCCGTCCGCCTCTCGCACCCATATACACACAGGAGGAAAGGAGGAGGAGGAGGAGGTGGAGGAGGGCAACGAGAACAAAAATAATCCCCATCTGACACGGCGCTGGGATCCTTTTTCCTGCGCGCTTCGTCGGCCGTCAGCTGGTTACGAGCAGCCGGGCTCGGTCGCAACGTGTCTGGTGGAGAGTGTCACCGCAGTCGGGGCTGTGTATTTATATGAGGCAGGCTGCTTTCATGGGGCTGCCGTCAGCCCGTCTGCCCGCCTCTGGACAGATGATCACCGCGATTCACGCCTGAATTTAGCTCCATCGTAGACGACACCGTGGATATGGAATGGTGCATGCCGCTGGGCCAAGTTTTCAGCCTCTGAACAACACCGGAATCATGGACAGTCATCCGCTGTGAGTGCACACAGCCGCCGCCGTGTGTGTGTGTGCTTGTGTGTGTGTGTGTGTTGTGTGTGTGTGTGTGTGTGTTGACGTTTCCCAGTGGCTGCTTGACGGATGGTGCCGCATTGACAGAGACAGCGGCCAGCCGGTGTTGGCTGACCGGGGAGGAGGGAAAGGAGGGAGGGGAGGAACCGGCCACCGAGACCCGAGACCCGATCACCGACAGCCAGCCTGTGGGTCGGTGTTTGTTGGGGAGGTGGTTGTGTTTGTGCCACAGAGGATGTGTGTGTGTTAGCTGCTCACAGCCATGTGTGTGTGGGTGTGTTTGTGACAGAAAACAAGGGCCACGTGATTTTTGCCACGACCAGCATAAATTAGATGGAATTAATGAAGTAGATTTACTAAGGTGCTGCACACACACACATGACTGGTACTCCAGCACAAGTTCACAGGCCAATATGGTTCTCTTGGTTCCACTATATGAATGACATTTTTATATATGAAGAGTTCATTTGCTAAAACAGATAACTCCATCTACACAAACCTTCAGAAAACCCACTTTCCCATCGTCTACCTGAGACAACATCAATCAAACTTAAGTTTTCTCTATTTTTGTCATGTCATTTCTGCTGAGTCAAATCCACTCAACTTTGATTGATATTATCTCAAGCAAACAACAAAAAAAGAAGTTTTCTAAAAATCAGGATGGATATTCAGATCAAGCTTTTACATATAAAACATGCCCAATCTCCTAAAACACAATATATTCTAAGGATTAAACCACTTGTTTCCCACATTATTGGCCTGTAAACACCTAAAACTGCTGAATGCTTTACAAAAAAAAAACCAGAAGTTTTCTTGTTCCCTCTCTCAACCTGTCAGATTTGTGACCCCATAGCGAAGGTGTGACCCACATTTGTGTAAATGCTACTTGATGCATCAGTATGTGCGATTTAACAATACTTTGTAATAATATATTATATCAGGGGCTGCAAGGTGGAGCAGTGGTTAGCACCGTTGTCTCGCAGCAAGAAGGTTGCCGGTCTTCTGCGGGGAGTTTGCATGTTCTCCCCGTGAAACGTGTAGCTCTGTGATAGACTGGTGACCTGTCCAGGGTGTCTCCTGCCTTCACCCTGAGTCAGCTGGGATAGACTCCAGGCCCCCCGCGACCCTAATGAGGATTAAGCGGTGTACAGAAAATGGATAGATGGATAGATAATGGATGGATGGATGGATGGATATTATATCAGGCATAAATTTGCTTTGAATATTTATTGTTATTATTATTATTATTTGTTTATTTTGATTCGCATTCAAAAATCTCTCCATTAATGCACAAAACAAGGGGAAAAAAACATGAGGTAAAGCTAATTAAAAAGGTGTTGGCTGTAGCATGGCTGAATAAAACAACAACAACAACAATAATAATAATAATATTAATAAAGATTACACAGTCTTCCTAATATAGGATCTTGAATGAAGGACTTGTAGTCTTACATTGTTGGATGTTTCTGTGATTATGTTTAAAATGCTGAAGCTGTAACTAAAGATGCTGTTCACTGAAGTGTAGAACAGATCAAAAATAACATTATGTTTCATGTTTATCTTTATTAAGGTAGAATTTATGGCAGAACAGGGAGGGAGGTGTTTCTAAAACTTGGTTGGATGAACGTGCCACAGCTCCAAAGGCTCCAGCTTTTATGTGTCACAGTTAGTTTGAGATAATGTTGGAAACACCACTTTATTTAGGAATACGCAGCGTGTCAATACAAACTAATAATTAAGGTTTTAAGGTAAGAATTAGACAAGACAGAATGCCAACATTGTCTCAGACTGCAGGTCTGACTGCACCACAAATGAACAGTTAATCAAATTAGCAGCTGACACACATTGAATCTGGGGGTCTTGGACTCCTGGGAGTTTGACTGCTTCACCTGATTGATAATCAAGCTTTGACCTAATAAAGTAGCATCTATTTTCCTAAGTCAAGAATCAAGACAACAAAACTGTAGGTATGAAAAAAACCCATCTCTTGCTGGTGAATCAGTCCGACCCTGGGTAGCTTCTGACTGTGCTTGTGGTTTAAAACTACATCCAGAGAAGTCCTAACACTGGTTATCGGACACGTGCAGTGTTCTCTGTTTATATCTGTGTGTGTGTTTGTGTGCTTGTTTCCTGTTTATGTATCTGTGCTGTCCCTCTCAGGTGCACTAGACTTTGTCCACATGCTCTGGACAAAGAAGACGGAGTCGAGAGGCAAGGTCCCGTCACTCTGAACCCTCGGCACATGAGGAAGGCGTTCAAAGTCATGAACGAGCTGCGCAGGTGTTGCACACTTTCTCTTCAGTCATTCGTTGTCTCGTCATCCCCAAATCCTTTTTGTGTACCTCTGGTGTGTAAACTGTAACCGGACATATTTTCTCCCTCTCGCTTTCTGTCTCCATCTCCTCCATGCGCATACAGCCAGAGCCTGTTGTGTGATGTGACCATAGTGGCAGAGGATGTGGAGATCGCCGCTCACAGAGTGGTTCTTGCAGCTGGAAGCCCTTACTTCCACGCCATGTTTACAGGTGAGGACCATTTTCCATCCTTTAATGTGCCACATCTGGCAGGTCTGGTATTTTTAGTTCCATTAATGCTGATTAGCTCACTATGCCATTGTTACCTTTGCGGGGATGGAAGGATAATAGGAGTGCATGTACTCACAGGGGAGATGGCAGAGAGCAGAGCGAAGCGAGTGAGGATAAAGGAGATGGACGGCTGGACTCTGGGCCTGCTGGTGGACTACATCTACACAGCAGAGATACAGGTCACAGAGGATAATGTGCAGGTAAACACACACATGCATTAGCTCAATAACTGTGGCGTGTTATCACATCGAGCAGCATTTACAGTCTCACGCTGATCCATGGAAACGCTGCAGGATGTGATTTGCCTTAAATATAGGAATAATATTTCAATTCCATATTTCTGAAGCCTAAATGGCTATTGCAGTGCTGGTAAGATATGTCAGTGTGTTGAAAAACCACAAAAACACACTATTTGTCGTTGTCAGGATGCAGGGTTAGAGCCTGTTGACATGTTTCATCCTGATTGCCCACAAGTTCATGACTAGTGATGAGATTTTCCTACTACAATTACTAAAAAGCCATCTTGAAAGATCTCATGAAATGGGTCCTTGAAAGCAGTAAATCTTTAGTGGTGACCTAATTCTGCACTTGGATGCAATACACAAACATCCAACCAGTGAACAGTCCTGCCCTTCAGCATGCCCTAGCAAACCTTTTTTTGCTTTATGTGATGACCAAACCCAGTTTCCCAACAATCCGTTATCACTGATATCAGTTCACATTAATTAAATTATGCTACCATTAAAGTGTGTATATGGGCTCCAGTGGTGTTTCGGTTATCACAGACAGTTGCTGCGTATTGCAGAGGAGGAGACGGAAACATTATCCCAACATGAATGTAATTTTCCTGACTGAATCTTTGCTATGCACAGGCACATGTTGAACAAACTACACATGTTGTCATTTAATGAAGCTTGTTCAATGGAACTGTTGTATTTGCAATCTTAAGCAGGAAAATGACAGCTATTTTATTCTTTAACATTGTTGTTACTGATTGGTGTTTGAACATCAGATTGGTGTTTGAACTTGTACTGAGCTGCACTAAGAAGGTAACAAGTATCTATTAATTTCTACTATTTTTAGGGATGAAGGGTTATGCTCTAAGCTCCTTTAAGTTGTTCCACCACACATGCGTTTTATCGCAGAGACTGTTTTGCTCAAACAAACTGGAGTGATAGGCAGGGGCTATTTTCGGTGACTGATCACGTCATCATCTGACTACAGGATGGTGTTCTGCACACCAACCTGGCACCTCTCTAAATTAAAGAGCCCATATTATGCACATTTACAGGTTTCTCATTTTATTTTGGGTCTATGAGAATACATTTACATGATTTGATGTTAAAAAACACATTTTTTATAATAAAGTACAGTGTTGCAGCGTCTCTTCTCAGCCTGAAACACTCTATGTTCGCTACTGTAACTTAAAGGCCCCCCTCCCTAAAAGTCCAGTTCTCTGATTGGTCAGATGGACCAACAAAAGTGAGATAACACTGGTTATGGATTATTATCCCAGATCTGTGAGTACAGGTAGAGATATGTTGCCTTAGCAGAAGCAGGTCTACTGAGCAAGTAACTGTGGCAGGGAATTTTTCTTTTTTTTTTTTTGAGGGCGTGGCCGAACGATGCAGACATTATGCAAATATGTTACGTGGTGGTTAGCACCGTCACCTCGCAGCTAGAAGGTCGCCGGTTCACATCCCGGTGAGGACACCTGGAATCTTTCTGCGTGGAGTTTGCATGTTCTCCCTGTGCAGCGTGGGTTCTCTCCGGGTTCTCCGGCTTCCTCCCACAGTCCAAAAACATGTTGAGGTTAATTG